GGGGAAATGTCCGTGTCCTGCCCCCATTCCTGGTGTCTCCGGTCGGGCTGAAGTTTCCTCTGGGAGGGGTGGGGGTAGAGGGGCAGAACTGAGCCTAAAACCGTGGGGAGGGGTAAGTGGAGAGATTCGGTAGGGTCGAGTCGGGAGCGGGCTCAGATCGTTGGATTCCTTGTTTTCCCAGTATCCGTTAGAGCTGATGAGGTGGATGTGGACGGCACCGTGGAAGATGACTTGGGTAAAAGCCGAGAAGGGTCTCGAACAGATGATGAAGTTGTTCAGAGGTTAGTACCTGGGGTGCTGGGTAAGTTACTCCTGAAACATTAGGGCTTCCTCTTATTTGTGAATGGTTGGTCAGAGCATCAGTAACACTTATGGAAATGCCATTCAAAAGAGATATCTAGTCAGCTGGAAGAAGCAAAATATGTCTGAGAGACTGTTTCCTTCTAACTTTCCTTAGAACTTAAATTCAGAAATATTCAACTTGTTTTTATCTAGAATCAATATTTGTATAAACCCCAATAAATTAATAGGAGTTTACTCTTGCTGCATGTGGTAAATGGTGTCAGTTGAGTGCCTACAGATTAAATAGCTACATGCCTGTGAACCGCCTCACCTCCTGTGAGGTATACCATGTGCTGAGGATTGTGTTGGTTTTAATACACCTGTATTCTTCCCTGAATTTTGTTTCAGGAAAAAAGCCTTTCTTGCAGGCATGGTTTTTCACTGAAGTTTAATATTAAGGTTATGCAGTTAAGGATAGCTACTTTTGCACGTACCTCATTCGATCATGTAACTTTGGGGTTGTGTTAGTGATTAAGGATCTTACTGTTGTTCTAATTAGACTACCATTGTTGTTGCTAGATGATAAAATAAGCGATACTGTATGTGGACAAGACTACTTGACAGTTTTTCATTGTCCTAACAGAGAGGAAGAAGCTATCCAGCTAGATGGTCTAAATGCATCCCAGATCAAAGAAATCAGAGAAAAAGCTGAGAAGTTTGCATTTCAAGCAGAAGTTAACAGAATGATGAAACTTATTATTAATTCTCTGTATAAAAACAAAGAGGTTAGTGTCTGGATTGGTAGAACATGTTAGAATGGTTTCTGTGTGTTCTAGAGTTCCTGACTACTGACTTCTATTTCAGATTTTCCTGAGGGAACTTATTTCAAATGCTTCAGATGCTTTAGATAAGATACGGTTAATATCTTTAACTGATGAAAATGCTCTTGCTGGTAATGAAGAACTTACGGTCAAAATCAAGGTAAGAAGCATTAGGTACAACCATCTCCTACAGAGAAGGGGTGGGAAGAATGTTAAAAATGCATCATTAAAGCTACATTTTTGGCTCAGTACTGATGCCAGCACAGACTAGGACCACATCAGGATCCTTGCAACTAACTTTATCAAAGACTACTCTTTTAATGGTGGAAATAGGTTTCTGATTTTATAGAGTAACTGCAATATTAAAATACTTTGAAGGTAGGTCTTTCTCACTTCTGTAGTACTGCAAATTTGATATATTGCAGCCAGGCATGTTCAAATTTGAGCAGCTGCTACTTGCCACTTTTCTGTGGCAATGTATTAAGATTCGAAAGTGAAGTCAAACTTCATCTTTGTCTTTCGTTTTTTTCCAGTGTGATAAAGAGAAGAACATGCTTCATGTTACAGATACGGGTATTGGCATGACAAAGGAGGAGTTAGTTAAAAACCTGGGTACTATTGCAAAATCTGGCACAAGTGAATTCTTAAACAAGATGACTGAAATGCAGGATGATAGCCAGTCAACATCTGAGTTGATCGGCCAGTTTGGTGTTGGCTTTTATTCTGCTTTCTTAGTAGCAGACAGAGTTATTGTCACATCAAAACACAACAATGATACTCAGCATATTTGGGAGTCTGATTCAAATGAATTCTCTGTCATTGATGACCCAAGAGGAAACACTTTAGGACGTGGCACAACCATAACGTAAGTATTAAATTTCTTTCAGGTTTAAAAGAAAAAGTTATGTGGGTACACTTTGCTCATTGGAATATGTGGATGACTTTAGTATTGTGGCTCGTATATTGATTCTTGTAATACAGTTTTTCTGAGTTAATAGAAACATGCAAACTATTTAACTGCATCCAGAAGAAATGTGGAGTGGTAATATAGTTCATGTCGCACTCCATTAGACAAACTAAGAAAACTATGAGCATATTCACAACTAACTAACTGTTGGCAAGTAATTCCAGACAGTTCAGGTGCCTGCAAACTCATGCAGTTCCTCAACACAACTGTGGCCCATCAAAACCTATACAGGGGCTGTAGAGCACCCTCTTGGAAACTGGCTGCTATTTATATACCAGTGAGACTGGTCTGATGCAAATTTCAAGCTAGAGGTAGTTTGACAGTCCTATTTTCGTTGCTTTCATGAGCAAATACATTTATTGGATCTGGGTTTAAGAGATATTTGCAGCTGAACCAATGAAAGCTTAGTTGCATAAATTTGAATTGCTATAGCAGCATCAGAAAGAAAATGCATCTCCTGTAAAACTATTTAAAATATTTGTTGAGCACTTTGATTGAAGGTTTTCTTATTTTCTTTAGTCTTGTCTTGAAGGAGGAAGCATCTGATTATCTTGAGCTGGATACTGTTAAAAATCTAGTAAAGAAATACTCGCAGTTCATAAACTTCCCCATATATGTGTGGAGCAGCAAGGTAAGTATATTTAACTGAGTATTGCACAGTATGAGCTTCAGTTGTGAAAAGGATGGGGGCATACTATAGAACTTGTGCTAGTCCAATTTCTAAATTTTTTTCCATTCCTGACTCTTCTGGACAGTATTTTACTAGTTAATTGCTCTCCAAAAGCTAGTGTTGCTAAAATCCCAAACTTTCAAGGAACTTGGTTTTATCCTGACTCAAAGAACTTTACCAAATGTTCTAATGTTCTTCCACTGGCTTTGGTAGCTGGGAAGCTTTGGTAAGCTCTCAAGCAGGGCCATGGTTAGGTGACCTTCTGAAAATAGGAGTGTCTTAACTTTTAGGCCTGTTCTGATGTTTCTTGGTGTAGCACTGATTTTATCACCCAAGTCTGATCAGCATTATGTGTAAAGCATTATTAGCATTATGGAGAAATGTATATTTGAGTACAGTGACCTCCCAGTGTATTGAAAGAAAGCATGCATGCATGAAAAACACAACTGAAAACCATAGCTATCTATAGAGAAATGCTCATGATAAGCAAATAATATGAGTTAAACTAGTGCTCTGAGAGATTAAGCTGTTTGAGAGAATACTGGAAGCCAAGCAGGTCAAGTTCCCACTTTAAGTTGTCTCTTTAGACAGAGACTGTTGAAGAGCCCATTGAAGAGGAGGAAGCAAAGGAGAAAGAAGAAACAGATGATGATGAAGCTGCAGTTGAAGAAGAAGATGAAGAAAAGAAACCAAAAACTAAGAAGGTAAGCTTGTCAGACTTGGAGTTTTGTAACTCATGTCAGATGGTTCAGCATTTTTTGTAGGTAGTCTTCCAGAGGTGCACTTCAATAGTGTGTGTGTGCTTTCAAACAGCAAGACTGTTTAAGTGCAATTAGACATCTTGTCAGGAAAGAAAATTGTAAACAAAACAGACTTGGTTGAAATTGGGCAAATGACTGACAATAGCCTTGTGAGGCAGTGGTCCCAAAATGAACAAATACTTGAGGAACTGCTTGAAATCGTAGTGGACTTCAGTAATATGACATTGAGTAGTTTAAATGGAGTATAGTCTCTGTGCTGGAAGACTTTTTTTTCAGAATGGCAATAGAATAGAAATACTGACATTTGGTGAATGTGTTAAATATAGGACACACTGTAATGTAGGCTTAAGTGTTGTTCCCATGTGTTACACTGGTTTGTATATTTCAATGAGAATATCCAGGCCATTGCATAATTCTGTAAATTAGAAAGAGCATGTATTTTTGACATGTTCTTTTATGATTTGCCCTCAGTGGAGTGGACTTAACCTGAAGTAAAGAATGAGTCTTTATTACACAATGGTTTTTACATGTGTAGGTTGAAAAGACTGTCTGGGATTGGGAGCTCATGAATGACATAAAACCGATCTGGCAGAGACCATCTAAAGAAGTTGAAGAAGATGAATACAAGGCGTTTTACAAAACCTTTTCCAAGGTATGCCCCAAGCCTCAAGATTGTTCCAAAGCAAGAGGCTTGTTACAGTATCTCTTGTGGTGTAAAGAAAAAGTGTTTATGGGATGGGTTATTTCTGAAGAATTAATTAATTGCTGTCAGTAGGTAAGACTGATACACCAAGAGCCTAGGAGGTATAGGATCTCAGGGGTTAATCTTTTTTCCAGAGAGGAGGTACTGCCACCCAAGTGTTGAGTGGCCTAGGCTTGAGAATTAACATGTTCCAGCTCATATGGAGCTTCCTGATGTGTTTAAAAGTTGACAGAGTAATTTTTATTCAGTCTGAGTGGTGGTGGTCTACATAGTAGAAGAAAGAGGAAGATACGGCTTTCTAGGAAAAACACTGTGTGTAAATAGTGTATAATGTGTTTCTTGGGAGTCTTGTAACTGCTGTGATGATACTGTATTGGCTACTGTGCTATTGCTAAGTTTTTGGTGGTAGGCTTGTAAAAAAGGCAACAAAACCAATAGATCTCAAGGAAGGTTACTTCTTTGTGAGTAACTTGGCTGAATCTGGAACTTTTGATTCCATAATAGATTCTAACAAAGCATGGTTAGATAGTTTAATTGTAAAAACCCTGCACTTACTTAGCAAACTCATGTTATTACTGGAGATATGTTAACTCACCGATATATTCCCCATGTCAATTAAAATAATTCTCTCTTCACAGGAACACGATGACCCAATGGCTTATATCCACTTCACTGCTGAAGGGGAAGTAACTTTCAAATCTATCTTATTTGTTCCAAATTCTGCTCCACGTGGCCTGTTTGATGAATATGGATCCAAAAAAAGTGATTTCATTAAGGTAGGTAGGACAAGCATGTGCGTGGGTATGGTTTCATGTCTTTTAAAAAAACCCCAAACATAACCTGATTGCTGTTTCCTCTTTTAATTCAGCTGTATGTTCGAAGAGTGTTCATCACTGATGACTTCCATGACATGATGCCCAAATATCTTAACTTTGTTAAGGGTGTTGTAAGTATTACAAGCCTTAACTTGCATTTGATTTTTTTAATCTTCAAATACTGTTAGCTAAACTTACGACATCTTTTCCTCTATTAGGTGGATTCTGATGATCTTCCTTTGAATGTATCTCGTGAAACACTTCAGCAGCATAAATTGTTAAAGGTAAGCAAACTGATCTTAAATTCCTTCATTGTAAACACATGACAGTAGCAAGATCTAGAAGAACAAGAGCTTGATTAATTTTATTTTGTATAAGGAGTATGAAACTAGGAGTTTAGGAAACCCATGCATTGCTGTTCACTTCAGTCCGGGGACACTGAATCCATCCTTTGCAGTGGTGTTGAACTGAGGGTTCTTCCAAATGCTTATTGTTATAACTTGGTATTGCTGCTTTTTTTAGGTGATCAGAAAGAAACTTGTTCGCAAAACTCTTGATATGATCAAGAAGATTGCAGAAGAAAAATACAATGATACGTTCTGGAAAGAGTTTGGTACTAATGTAAAGCTTGGAGTTATTGAGGATCACTCCAATCGTACACGACTGGCTAAACTTCTTCGCTTCCAGTCTTCTCATCATGAAAGTAACCTTACAAGCCTTGACCAGTATGTGGAAAGAATGAAAGAGAAGCAAGACAAAATTTATTTCATGGCAGGTGCAAGCAGAAAGGAGGTATGCAAGCATGGAAGAAAGAGGGAAGGGGAAAAATATTCCAGCTCCTAGTTGTAGTAGTACCAATTGTGAATTGTGTATTTGTAAACATGGAGACATCATGTTTAGTTACTACTGCAGTTGAGTTTTCCTTGTTACCAACACTTGTCAAATAGTTGTACAGGTTTCAGTTGCTGCTGGTACCAATGCAGTTAAACTGACATCTGATCTATTTTGTCATCTTAGGCTGAGTCCTCACCTTTTGTTGAACGTCTTCTGAAAAAGGGCTATGAAGTGATCTATCTGACTGAACCCGTAGATGAATACTGTATTCAGGCTCTGCCAGAGTTTGATGGCAAGAGGTTTCAGAATGTAGCAAAAGAAGGAGTTAAGTTTGAAGAAAGTGAAAAGTCTAAGGAGAGTCGGGAAGCCTTGGAAAAAGAATTTGAACCACTCTTAAACTGGATGAAAGACAAAGCTCTCAAAGACAAGGTAAAATGTTATGCTATATGTAATGCTTATTTGTAAACACTGTTGTACATGCTACAACACACCTTGCAGATCTTTGAGCATAGACTTGACAGTACCTTTTCTGTCTCTCTACGCATAAACAAACATGTTGTTCAATACCTTTGTCAGGAAGATAAGTTAGAAAGTCATCCTGGAGCTTTCACAAAACATTGAAGTGACAGGAAATTTCAGACTTAATTACTTTATTCCCTGTATAAGCTGTTAGCTCTGTGAACTAACATTAAGGCTCTTTTTTTCCTACAGATTGAAAAAGCTGTGTTATCTCAACGTTTAACCCAGTCTCCATGTGCTCTTGTGGCTAGTCAGTATGGATGGTCTGGTAACATGGAAAGAATCATGAAGGCTCAAGCTTACCAAACTGGGAAGGATATATCGACAAAGTGAGCCTTAAGTTATATAGCAGCAGACATACATGAGAAGTAGTTGATCTCCCTTTCTTGGTGTGGGCACACCAAGCTTCAGTCTGGTTCAGATGATCCCTCATCTGAAGTTTTTAAAGTTACTTATAATCAAGTTGCAGTCTCTATCATGGTCTTACACTGTTATTTCAAAGCCCAGTATGTAAAACTGCCTGGTGATCAAGACTCATGAGTGGCATTTGCTATCTGTCATTTGGTGACAAAAGAAGGTGAACTGCCTTAGTAACTTGAATGCTTTTTAGAGTTAAGCTAGTAGTAAAGTGGGGCTGGGGGAGGAATATGCTTGTTACTGTGGCTGTAATCGGTATTCATGGGTTTAAAGATGTAGCTGGGTCCTGTACTTCAAAACTTAGTGATTTAACTCCTATTCTTTCCAGTTACTATGCTAGCCAAAAGAAGACATTTGAAATTAACCCCAGGCATCCACTGATCAAGGACATGCTGCGGCGAGTCAAGGTAAACAAGTAACATTAGTGAAATACTGACTGCTTGGCTGCATGCAACCTAGTTAATGGTTCTGTTTGGTTTTTTTTAATGCTTTTCCACATTAGGAAAACGAAGATGACAAAACAGTTTCAGATCTTGCAGTGGTATTGTTCGAAACTGCGACTTTGAGATCAGGATATATGTTACCCGACACTAAGGAATATGGAGACAGAATAGAAAGGATGCTTCGTTTAAGTTTAAACATTGACCTGGATGCAAAGGTTAGTTTGCCTTCAACTTTGGGCTGATAATTGACTTACTGCTGCTACATCTTAAAAAAGCAGATACTTGATTGGTAGACTTGCATAAAATGAAATGTATCTAGCTTCCTACACCAGGCCACCAGGAGCCCAGTTCAGGTACCTGGGTGGGAAGCGATGAGTCTGTATGTCATGCTCATGTCCTCTTTTCTATTCTTCTTCCCAGTTGCTTGGGATTCTGCTTTCACTACACTTCTCAAGTATTGTCCTGTTCTTAACTAACTGGTGGTTCTATGGGAGTAAAGAAGGGGCCAAAGGTACATGTGCCCATAGTATAATAGAATTTTTTGGGTTGGAAGGGACCCCTAGAGATCAGTTAGTCCATCTCATTAATGGAGAAATTCTTAAGTGGGTATAAGTAATACAGATTTTCATAATGCTGTACAAGAACTTACTTGCCCAGAGGAGGCATGATAGTGTGTCAGTGCTAAACAGAACTTGCTTTCTCCTTCAGGTAGCTTGGGACAATTGTTAGCAGCTGGTAGTGAGTACTTCCCTAGCCTGTATTTAGGTAGTCCACAAGTAGTAAATGTCCTAAGCAAATAAAGTAAATTGCTTGTGACCTTTCCTACAGGTGGAGGAGGAACCTGAAGAGCCTGAAGATGCGGCTGAGGAGGCAGAGCAAGATGAAGAGGAGGTGGATGCTGATGCTGAAGACAGTGAAACACAGAAGGTAAGGTCTTGTTTGACTCTTTTCTTACCAGCATTTATGTATGGTTTTGTTTGGTGCTTCTGGCAACAGACTTGTTCACTTTGCCTTCTGTGACACTAGTTTTTAATGTGTTTCCAAACTCTTCTTGAAGGGGAAAAAAACCGCAGCACAAATGACACTTCATTCCTTATCAAACTGTATTGTAAGAAGAAAACACTTTAAACATGTTGAAAGTTGGAGCTAAATTAAGAGATTGTAACAGAGTGCCCTATGGCCAGAAAATCGCAGCCTATCTTCTACGGTTGTCTTGATGTTATCTGTTGGATTTCCACAACTTGTGGGCTGTTACATCAACAAATGGGCAAGAGTATGATTTCAAATGCTTACAGTACATACTTCTAAAAACACTACCTCTGCAACAGTTCAACTGTTCTGTGAAGCCAGGCTGCATCTACCTAATATCTGCAGTTTTAATGTCTTGATGGATTATGTTGAACTCTCCCAATACCACAGTTTCTTGATAACAGTAAAGTTACCATGAGGTCCCAGCTGGACCTGCTATCTCAGGTTGCTTTTGGAAGTCCTGTAAGATGACTTCTTGTGGCTAGCACAAATACACTAGGTTTTAGATATGTACTTGCCTACTGTTAAATGTTGTATTTCCTAAGAATAGATCTGAGGAACAATGCTTATTGTACTATAGCTACTTAGTTTCTATGACATTACTATTGTGTTTACACAGCAGTATAACCTACAATTACAGCAATGTATTATAAAGGAGTAAAGTTATGTTCTATTTGTTGGATTTGCACACTTGCAGATGAAGGTTTCTGACTATTGACTGGAAAGCACTGTGGTTCTTAGCTCTGCAGTCACATAGAACAGGGCTATTAACAGCACTAATACTGTGCCTGAAAGATAGCTTAGAAAGTATTAAAGATGAAACGGTACACTAGATCTACTGCTAACATTTGAACAGACTGAAAACATTTCTTTTTACCTCTTAAGAGCAAAGGCTTAACATGCCATCATTTGAACAGGAGTTTGACTTTCATACCTCCTTAAAAAGTTGTATTGCTTCTGTCAGTGCTTCGGAAAGCACCAACGGTGCTTGGGTTCACTTTTTCTGGGACAGCTGTTGTGACCTTTTCCTCTTTCAAAAAGCAAGATTCTGATTCTCTCTTTGTCTCCCCAGGAATCCACAGATGTGAAAGATGAACTGTAAGCTGCACTCAACTACCATCCTGCATTGGGGGGTTAAGAGGGAATGTGAATTAGATTGTTCTGTTTTTTTTCACTGTAAAATGTTAAAGGATGGTATGGGGTTTAAGGGTGAAGGAGGATTTTTTTTAAGTTCACTTTTCTAAAAACATTCCTCATGAATGTAAATTTGTATTATTTAACTGACTTGGTGTAAAATCTTGTCATGTACAAAATAAAATGTTCCCAAACACCACTAACTCCAAATTTTACATAGTAAGCTCATCTTCAGGGCTAGCACAAACACAGGGCTTGTCTGGAGTGCTCAAGGCCCTTGTACAACAGGCACTGTGCAGTCCTTGTGCATTTTGACACTGGCACAGCCACACTTAACTGTGTAATGTATGCCTGTGGTTGGGTTTTGTGTTAACAAACCTGTTGTGCTGTTTAGCCAAAATATACCTGCTATTGGAGGGCTGTACTGAACTTGCTAGTTGACCTAAGTATTCAAGAAGCTGTGTCTACTGCTGTCTTAAGAAAGATGAGATGGGTTATTTAAAAATAGTACTGGAACTGAAGTCCTGTCAGCTTGCACTGGGCTGTATGTGACTTGACCCCACTGTACAGAGGTAGGTGGTGGTAGCTTTACAGCTGAGATGAGGAAAAAAATGCCCTTTCACTGAAGCTGTGAACACCAACAACCAGAAGTGGCTTACTGCCTGTGAGCTTGTACTGTCCTCCATGGTATTTGGCAATTCGCTTTCTACAGTTTTTTTTAAAGGTGGAAGCTCTTGTGTGTCACAGTTATTCTTTAATGCTATTGTTCCTAAACTTTTTCACTCTTCCTCTATGTCTCTTTAGTACGGCAAAGCACCATAAGTATTTGATTTAACTCAAGCTACATCTGTTGACACCAAATTGTAATGTTAGAGAGGTTGAGCGGGAGGTACCACTTGCTCTTCTAATCATTATGTTGTCTTGATGTGGTGTTTGGATGAAGCACTGCATTTTCTCACTAGTGCCTCTACTTAGAAACACCTTCACAGGGTTGGTAGGAAGTGTTTACACTGAAGAGGTCTTTTTTTGCCTTCCTCTGTGGAAGAAATACATAGAAGTACTTCTGTGCAGTGACTACTGAAGAACCACTCTTCTGTTTTCCTAACAGAACCTTTGTGAAGTTTTGAGGTTTGCAATCTAAAGCAAAATAAACTTTCTAATTAGGTGAGGGCACTAAACACAACTGAAGAACTTGCTTTCAGTTTATTTTTACTAGGCTTCTATATTGCCTAAGTACTGTTTCCATGCAATAAATACAAGCACCATGTATCAGTGTGGTTATTGAGTTAGGGTTTATACAGAGATGCTGGCTTTATTAGTGTGCTGTTTGAGATGCTGAGGAATGGGAGCTTAGTTTTTTTGAGGGAGTTTGGGGTTGGTTTAGGTTTTTGCTCACTGTAGTAGTACCTTAGATGCACTAGAAGAGCCTTTTGTTACTAGAACAGGCTGAGTGGTCTAAGCCTTGAGCGTAGTTCACGAGCTAGCAGCAGTATCAGCTTTAATGGTAGGAAGTTACTGACTAGGGCAGCTGCACCATTTCTTCTTGGGCCATGGCCCTCTTTAACTAAGGCAGTGCAACTTTTGTCTTTTGTGCTCTGTAGCAATCGGCTGCTGCTGAGGCTTTAACACTTCCTAAAATACCACTTCCAGTGATGCACTTCTGCATTGCTGTCTGACCAGCCTGAGTAGCAAATGTGGCTCAGGCCTAACATACGGCTAAGAGTGCTTCTGCAGCTTACATACTGAAGAGGAGTATTGGAAGCATAGGGTTGCTTGCTACAGTGTTCTTAATCTGTTAATTACTTGTGGACTTGAGCAACCTTTGGTCTGTTACACAGCTGGAGTGCTTGATGCCTTAGTTGGTTTTAGGATGACATACCTGATTCCATTTCAGAAAATAAAAAGCACACTTGAGAGCCATGCTTTGTGCTGCTTCATCTTCCTCAGCTGAGGATATCACGTGCAACATAGCTGTCCTCCAGCTGCTTTCTCTACCCTGGAGTGACAAGTGTTTGCTGTTAATAAGCACAAAATGCAATTGTAGGCTTGCTTTTTTCTTTTTTTAAAGTCACCTCTGTGAAGTAAAATAACATCAATGCTGGAAGAAGTGTCTCCCAGTCATCCTGAGGCTATTTCTCAGTGCTGCAGTCATGCTGATTCTGGGGGTGTCACCTCTGCTGTGAAACTTGGTGTTTTCAGCTTTGCTGTTCCTTAGTTGGGAGCTAATGAGAACGGTTCCCTCTGCTGGAAAAGGCTGAGGTAAAACACACTGCTTGTTGCTCAGTTTCCATTGGCAGCAGTACACATTTGGAAACCTAATCCAAATTAATAGTAACTTCCCTCTGCGGCGTTTAGATCTGAAGAGCCTTTAGAAAATAAGGAGAAATTAATCTTCCATGGCTGAAGTCAACAATGTAACAACAGAGGTGGTAACTCGTGTGGTGGTTTGACCCTGGCTGCATGCCAGGGGCCCACCAAAGCTGCTCTATCACTCCCCTCTTTAACCAGACAGAGGGGAGAAAAGCAGATCAAAGGGCTTGTGGGTCAAGATAAGGACAGGGAGAGATCATCTGTCAGTTACCATCATGGGCAAAACAGACTCAACTTGATAAAATTAATGTATTATCAATCAAAATCAGTGAAGAGGATAAAAACTGCTGAATCTTAAAACACCTTCTCCCCCACCCCTCCCTTCTTGCTGAGCTCAACTTCACTCCCAGTTTTGCAGTGGTGCGAGGGGGATGGGAATGGGGTCTGGGGTCAGTTCATCACATGTCTCTGCTGTTGCTTCTTCCTCAGGAGAGGACTCCTTCCCCTGCTCATGCATGGGGTCCCTCTCACGGGAGACAGTCCTCCATGAACTTCTCCAACGTGAGTCCTTCCCACAATCTACAGTTTTTCACTAACTGCTCCAGCATGGGTCCATAATTTCCAAGGGGTGCAATCCCTCAGGAGCAGACTGCTCCAGCGTGGGGTCCCCCACGGGCTACAGGTTGATATCTGCTCCACCGTGGACCTCTATGGGCTACAGGGGGACGGCCTGCCTCACCATGGTCTTCACCACGGGCTTGCAGGGGAATCTCTGCTCCGGCGCCTGGAGCACCTCCTCCCCCTCCTTCTTCACCGACCTGGGTGTCTGCAGGGCTGTTTTCTCTCACATCCTCTCACTTCTCTTCTCTCTCTGGCTACTGAGACGCAGCCGGTTTGTTTTCCTTCTTAAATATGTTATCACAGAGGCGCTTCCACCATCGCTGATTTCCCTGTGTCTGCCTTGGCCAGCGGCAGACACAGGGAAAACTTCTGGCAGCTTCTCACAGAAGCCACCCCTGTAGCCCTCCCCACTACCAAGACCTTGCTGCACAAACCCAGTACACTCTGACAAAGTGAGTTAACAGGGTAAGGGTTGGTGAATCCTGGCTCTTTAAAGGGGTACCTGGAAAACTGCTGCTCCTGCCCTAGTTAGAACAGGAACAAAATTCTGCTGAACTGCCCCATCTTGTCTCTTTAATAACCTTTATCTTACACTGAGGTGGAAGGTTGTCAATCTCAGCTTTGTTTAGGTACAAGCAAAGCAGAAAGTTTCACCAGAACTGGACCTAGTAAGATGTTCTTACTGATTGATTTCATTTGGGCTTAACATCTGAGATTTACTCGAGGCCTGCCTATCAACAACTGCTGTCACTGATAAAGGCGTCTGAGATAGATAGACTGCCTGCCATCCAGCAATGCCAAGCACAGGCTGCAGCCTGGACATCCACATGGGCGCCTAAGAGCCGGAGAGGATCCCATCCTGCCTCGGCTGCTTCTCCCCATCAGCCAACAGCTGCAAAACTGTATGAGAGCAGGGGCACGTATGCATGCAGAGGAACTATAAACCTTTCTTCTGAGGAAAACCACTCCAACTTAGGCAAACATGAGTAACAGCTTCACAGCTGGAACAGATGTAACAGTAGCACTTTCGGTGATCATTTCTGGATCCCTCTGCTACTACAAGAGCTCCAAGCACTTTGCCAGTAGGAATTAGGGAGCTTTTGTTTCCTTAATGGGCAATCCATCAGATTGTGGTTTTCTTCCCAGACTTAAGCCTGAGTGAGAGTTGAAGCCTGTGCCTTGTCTTGGTGCCTTTCTCAAAGGAAAGCAATCCCCAGCCTTCACAAACTGTGGCGTACCACTCAAAAACGGGTTGCTGTAGGATGTTGACTTTGTGTATCTTCTCGAGTTCCTGGTGCGAGAGGTTTGTGGCGATCCTATTTTTCAGGACTGAAACATAAACCTGCACTTGTTACTTCAGAGTTTTGTGTATTTACAGCTATTGGAATCAGCCGTGAACAGAAGATGCCCAAATGGAGTACAAACATACGTAGCTTCAGTGTAATCTGTGTGTATTTGCCCCATTTTAAGTAATATAACCAAGTTGTAAGATCCTCCCCGGCCTGACAGTGGACCAAAGTAGATTTCCTGTCAGTAACACAGCCAGCCAGCCAATGTAATCCCCCCAGCCGTTAGCCAGCATTAGGAGGAGTCCAGCGCAAGAAGTGCTGCAATAAGGAGTCCTTCTTATTCGTACGCGCCATCACTTGCTGCATCACCTTCTGGGTTACGGCCAGTAACACTGAGAAGTTGATAAAGGGGAGAAATGCCAGGGGGTAAGTGGGGTTCTACTACAGATGAACAGGTAAGCTAATTAAGGCTGCTAATGAGCAGTCATGAAAGCTTGACTTTTCAATACGCTAAACTTCCCGTCCTTGTTAACCAGCTTAAAAATTTCCAATTCCATCTGACTTGACGATGTGAGTTGACATCTTTTGTTCTGAAGGACACTTGCACTGCAGTCAAGATTAAGAACTCATAAGCATTTTGGCGCACAACCGACTGGACTTTCAACAACAGTATTCATCATACTTTTATTTTTAATGCTGCCTGTAACTCTGCTTCAAACAAACAAACAAAAGTATGAAGGGAATACAGTATTTCCCATGTGGGTTTCTGCAGTTGAGACAGTGGAATAAATACTTTATCCATTCTAGTTTTCACAACGTACGCAAATTCTGGTCTACTGCTGTCCAGTTTGAACTTTGCTTGATCTTTCTTTTAGACCCAACAGTTCTGTTTTCAATTCTCCAGGCTTAGGAGGTACTTCAGGTATGCTCTGTTAAAAATGGAGAAAGATGTCAGCATTGTGGCAGAAGAAAAACGAAACTCCCAAACCAGTAAATGAGCGCACCCTGTAAGAGGCAGCATTACAGCTCAATTGTGATTGTACCGCGCCCTTTTCCAAGCGGAACGTAATTCTTGCATGCAAAACATCTTAAAAATTAACCTACTACCTTTTTGTAATTTGACTTCTATTTCAAAGTTGCCAAATACAATTTGAAAGAAAAAAAAGAACAGACAGTTAGTTTTAAAGGAACAAAGCTTCTTTTTGCCACTTAAGGCAGCAAGTTCGGTTGCAATGCCTGTACAGCTCAAGTTCCCACACATACGCTTTCTCTTGATGACAGAAGAAAAACTTTCATGCTTCTACCTGTTGTAGAAATTAAGCACTGAAACCGGAGATGAAATTTTTAGAAAAGGAAGAGATACCAGGTGACATGACATTTCAAGAATTTGTCCCAGTTTAGGGAGGTATAGATAATGAATAAATACACCTATTTGCCTGTAGTGAAGGCTACATTAGAGGCTATTAAAATACATAAATTCTTATGCATCTATCACTGATTTAAGCCTTGCTGCTTGAATTTTGACACGACAGCTCACGCACGGTGATTTTTTTAACTTCTTTCCAATTTGAAACTAGCACAGTGTTTTTAAAAAAAACAATCAGCGTACATGAGCAGGGGCATGAGATCAGGCTTACAACTCAGGCGGCCTCCAAGAGACCAAATCAGGCATTACTGTCCCTGGTGGGTGGTCCCATTGGCAGCTTAGTTCTCTGTGACCGTAATTTTGATAGTCTTGACTCAGCCCGTCACTGTTTCTAAAGTAGACTTTTGGTCACCTTCATTTTCGTTACCGGGGTGGACGGGGACGGGGGACAGTCCATTGAAATGGCACA